TAGCATGGCTTGAGATTCTCTTAAATGGAATGGACATGAGCAATCACTTGAAGAAGAAAAAACGATTGCCTACCTTTATTAACTGTTGTTCTTTGAGATGTGTTGCTCATGTCCATTCGAAGTATCACCCACATCCCTTTCATTGGAGAATTCTGGCAACTCTAAAGTTCACATCTTTAGTTAATTCAAATTAATTTTCCTGGATATCCTCATGTAGACAAGATCTGTGTGAATGTGCATATGCATATGCTGGAAATGCATAGCACTCCAAGTCTGCACTTGCCAGAATTTAATCCTTACAATTTCAAATTGACATATTTACATTTTAAATTATTTTCTAATTAATTAATTATATAGTCTAATATTTATGCTAAAATATTGTATTTAATCTTTTATCCTGATTTGTACTGTCTTACAGATACTGCTGGCACTACTTAGTTTGATTAAGATGAGGAAAACAGTTATGTCTTGTTTGACTTTACTGATGCTTCTTAACTTTATGTTTCCTTTTGTCTCCCTCTGCTGGAACTTTTTAACTTTTGCTCGTATTTTAGTTTGGCTGATGTACAATATTTCTGAATGCTGGCTATTTTGTTATAGTTGCCTTATAATAGAGCTAAATGTTTTGATTAGGACTAGTTGAAAAACTACTCAAAACATATAAGATTATGAGACAGATAGATATTCTGATAACCTAAATAGATGACAGTATTTTTCCAGTAGAGAATGTGGGCATGGCGGATGGGGTATAGTATTTGCAAGTAGAACACAACTTTACTGTCTTGTTTTTAGCATGGTTTTCTGTGGATATTTTGAGGGAGAATAATAGGTAATTTTGTTCAATATGAAGCTATATGGAACTGTTTTCTTAATATACAGAAAGATAAATGGAAAATGTATTAATCCTAATGGAGACAGATTATATTATTTGTTTTGTTCCCCAATTGTTGGCAGATACCAGATCAGACATAAGCAATTAGAGAAGCGCCATATTACCATTGTGTGGTTTATCTTAAAACCACATTTTAAATCACTATCCTTGTGGTCTGAAGGAAGCGATTTTATTTATCTGAGCCAAAAGAAAGCTTTGGCTTTGATTGATTCAGTTTGAGCTGAACTAAGTTTGCCTTAGCTGGAAGTTGCCTCTTCATCTCTTGTAACTGGTATATGACAATGACTTTACATTGTCAAAATTATTTTACTGGAGCTCTCTGTAGAAAATTTTATGCAGTCAGTCAAGCCTGAGAAAGATACATCTATTTGAGTTTTATGACACTTATGACAAGGGAATTTTCAAACAATTATAAGACTGTTAATAATCAGATATGGAAAGAAGCAAAAAAGCAAAATGAAACCACTAACAAGATGGTTTATTAGGTGATGAGCTTTCGTGGGCCAGACCCACTTCCTCAGATCAAATAGTGGAAGAAAACTGGCACAACCATATATATGTTGGTATATATGGTTGTGCCAATTTTCTTCCACTATTTGATCTGAGGAAGTGGGTCTGGCCCACGAAAGCTTATCACCTAATAAACCATCTTGTTAGTCTTTAAAGTGCTACATAGTCCTGTTTTTTAATATACTAAACTCTAGAGTAAGTGTACCCAAAGATTTCTTAGGATGAGGAAATAAGATTTGGTTATTTCCAAATCTTAGGTAGAACCTGAATTGAGCAGTGCTAAGGCCCTATAAAATATCTACACTAGGGTTCCAGGCCCACTTACGGGATGGGCAAAAGGGGCAGTTGCCCCGGGGCCCAGCAATTCAAAAGGGCCTCGGGCTCCCAGCCTTTATCGCTGCTACTGCAGCAGCTGGAGCCACGGGTCTTTAAATCACCACCTGAGTGCAGAGCCGCCCTCACCGTGCCTAGGATTCCATGGAGCCTGTCAGCTCTCCCATAGGATCTGTAGCACGTGCTATGTTCTAGTGCAGTGTTTCTCAAACTGTGCTCCATGGAGCCCCAGGGCTCTGCGAGACATCTCCAGGGGCTCCATGAGATTGACAAACTGAAAACATCGATAGGTACAACACATACAATCAGTGGACCGCTGGGGCTCTGCATAAAATTTTTATGCATGTAAAGGGCTCCAGAGCCCAACAAGTTTGAGAACCGCTGTTCCAGTGTACCAAATCCATGGTCCATCTGCTTTTCTGCTCTTCAGCGTATCCATGTTATATCAAACTATTCGCTTAGCTTTACACGTATAGCTTAGCTGTTAGCTACTGAATGGACCTTCTACTTATTTGGGCATGCCTGGGAAGAGGCTGGTCCTCTGTTCCTTAACATCAGGTCTTCAAGGAAAGGTGTAAGTATGCCAGGCTAAACAATCCTTTATCTTAGAAATGTTGCCAGAGGGAGTCCTAGGATTGTATTAAGTTCTTGGCATCTTTTATTTCCTGAGGTTTGGTATTCTTTCATTTGTTTTAATAAAGGTTTTAACTAATCAGCATTATCCTCAGTTCAAGTGCCCTTGCCATGCACACTAAGAATCCTTTTCTGAAACAGAGTTCTCGGGGTTCTCTCTCACTCTGTAGCCTGTTTTGGGATAAGAACCTAAATATCTTCTGGTTAGATGTGTCCTGTGGCAAGCCATAAGCCATAGCCCATAAATTCAGGTTAACAGGACTGACGCTTGATTGTGCCAAGTGTTATACAAATATAAACATGCTGGAAAATATGAGTCAAATAGTTTCTAAGGCCACATTACACTAAAGCCTTATATTGGTATAACTGCATTGCTTGATGAAGCTATCTGCAGTGGTTAAGATATACTAACCAAAACCCCCACTGCAGATAGCTTCTCCTACTATCAACATATCTACAGTCTTTTATGGAGGTGGATTAACTATGCTGACGAGTAAAAGATGGTATATAATGTACCAGTGCAGCACTTTAAGTGCAGACCTTCCTTAAGAAGAGAAGTTACTTAAGAAGCCTGGGGATAGAGGGATGCAAAGAAACATATGCCACCAACACAATATCTATAGACAGTTGAAAATATTTATCTACATAATATTCTAGGAATGTCATTCTGAAGCCTAAAATGCCTGTGCAGTAAGTATGAAGTGGTGGAAGCAACTACCAGCACATCTAAGAGCTTTTCCTGTTCATAATATCACCAACTTCAATCATCAGTAGGTTTTGCAGTCAGTTACTGTCCAGTTTCTACATTCTCAGCAATTTTGACATTACAAATTGCATCCATGTGGCATACAAATACAATTACAGTAATGCAACACTAAGGCTGTGTCTAGACTGATCGCGAAAATGGCGATCAGGGCTTTTTTGCGCAAAAGCGCGTCTCGATTGGCCACGGATGCTTTTCCGCAAAAAGTGTTTTTGCGGAAAAGCGTCCATGCCAATCTAGACGCTCTTTTCCGAAAATGCTTTTAACGGAAAACTTTTCTGTTAAAAGTATTTCCGGAAAATCATGCCAGTCTAAACGTAGCCTAAGAGATGATGATTGCTCTATGGGAGTAGCTGAAAATGTTGCTGTTCAGGGATTATGGGTAGAGCACAAATCTGAGGATAACATCAAGACCATCCCTACCAATACTGGTGCCTTATGCAGCCCAGCATCAACATGCCCCCCTCCCCCGCACTTCCATCCTGGATGGAGGACTGGCCATTCTGCAAACAGGGGAAGACGGCTTTGGGAGCAGCTGTGGGGGGCAGGAGTTGCAAACTCTCCTGGATCAGATAACATTGCCGCAAATGGTGTCTGGTCTGCCTGTTTGGGAGAACTGACAGTCCTAGGCAGGAGCAGAGCAGAATGGGAGCCTCACCTGAAAGCCTCAGGTGAGCAGATGGGCGACATGGGTAGCAGCAAGCAGCATGAATGCACACCATAGGAGCAGAGTGCAGCTTCACAGCCCATGTTCATGCTGCTCCTGGCAGTCTGGTGAGTGGGAGCTGGGCCTGACCACAGGAGCTAATGCAGAGCCTGCAGGTGGTAGGGCCTCCAGGTGATAGGGCTGAGGGCCATCAGGGCTGATATGCAGCACCCCAACTGCATAGAGCACCGTGAAATTTGGAGCAATTTTAAGTCCCGAATTTTGTGGTGTCCAATACAGATGTTTTTCGTATTGGTAAGAACCACACTGGATATCCACTTCATATCTGTGAGTAGCTACATCCATCAGGAAATATGTGACAGGAGAGGGATCACGTGAGGATTACCTGTTGTGTTCCCTCCCTCTTGAACATCTGGCAATGACCACAGTCAGCAGACAGGATGGACCTTTGGTCTGACTTAGTATGGCCGTTCTTATGTTGATTTTTTTTTGCAGATCAGTGTGGACACAGATTCTATTTTTGTATTTAGTGCCCTGCTGATATCCATGGATTATTTTTGCAGATTGTAAATTGGATGTGGATGTAGATTTTTCATCTGCTTAGGCCTCTAGAAATGGAGGAAGCAGTTAGAGCCAAATAGCACAGGGACACTTTTAAAAGTGGAACATTCTCCTCATTTCTAAATGGCTTTTTAGAAAGAAAAGTGAGACCGAATATCGACAGCAAATTCTTAGCAGCTCCATGTAGGGATGCAAAACGCCATTTAATTGGTTAACTGATAAAAGGGGGAGCAGGTGGGAGGGCCACTCCAGCCCCCCTTCTAGCCCCAATCCCCCGCAGGCAGGGGCTGCTCTGCCCCTGGGGGAAGACCCCGGCGGGGCTGGAGCTGCCCCGGCCCCCACCGGTTAACGTTTAACTGGCAACGCTGCGCTGGTTGCCCATTCACGACCCTAGCGCCATCGCGCCTCCAACAGCTCGTGACGCTCGCAGGCGGCCAAGGCGGGATCCAGCTGCTTCCCTGCCGCAGCGGCCCGACTGCTTCAGGCAGCACCGTTTGGACTCAGCACAGGAGGGGCGGCGAACGGTTCGCTGAGGGCGGGTGTGGGACCCTCCTTCCCCGCGCGGCCGCGAGAGGGGGCGTTTCCCAAACAACGGCTGGGGCCCGCCCGGCCGTGCGGGGTGTGACGCGTCCAGCGCGGCAGCCAATCGCGGGGGGCGCGGCGCATTCGAACAGGCACGGGCGCTGAGAGCGGCTGCTGAGGCGTAGCTTGGGGGCCGGTAAGTGAGGCTGCGGCGCGGGGCGCGCTAGTTGCCCCTTCCCGAGCGGAAGTGGCCTGCCAGTTGCCTTGCTCGGCGCTAGCCCGGAAATGGGGGTTGGTAGCCCTGGGGCCGGCCGCCCTCCCCAGCAGGGACCTGGGGTCCCCGGGGGCGCAGGCTGTGGCCGGACTAGACCCTCTCTCCGCTGAGGGGAACGGCCCGGTAGCTCGTGCCTGCTGGGAGCGCCCCGTCACTTGCCCCTGCTCCGACACACCCGGGCAGGGGCTGGCAACCCCCTGGGGAGCCGGCGCAGGGCAGTTGGGTGGTGCGTTCCCCTGCCCGGAAAAACAGGAGCGCACGGTGTATGGGAGGCCGTTAACCACGGAGGCAGCTTGGAAGGGACATAGTGTTAACCTGGCCTGCCCAAGCCAGGCACTCACAGCCAACAATGACACGTTTATGTAGGAAATGTTTGCAAACAAACAACCATTGCCAGTACTGGGATCTTCGTTTTGTTAAAACTTAGTTTTGGGAGGGAGGCGGGAAGTTGATAGCTTTGACAAGTCATGGCCAAAGGTTGTGTCTTTAGAAACGAGTGCTAGTATTGGGGATATTCATAGATTTGCACCCGTGCATTTGTGCACAGTTGGAGGGGTAGCTGTTTTGGGGAGCATAAAAGGGAAAGTTTATAATTATAAAAATTTGCAACAAATTGTCTAACAGTCTTTTTCTAAAGAGAATGGTTTTGTTTGTCATGGTAATAGCCTGTTGATCTCTAAGTTTAACCTAATTTTAAGCACTTAAACTTGATATTTAAATTAAATATCTCATTTATAAATGTATATTTTCTGTATTACGTAACTTTCAAAAATTCATAAAATGGAGGCAGCTAGAAACAGATTAATCTTGCTGCAGAAGTAATATTCTTTAACAAGCTATGTTACTTTTCCTGATCCTATGAAGCTGTATCTTCAATCCAAAGCATTTAAAAAAAACACACTAAAATGACATAAGGATAATGTAGAAGTAGCTGCCACTGGTTCCTGCCTCTCCCCTCTGCCCCGTGTATGTAAATGTGTAACTGCTGAAATTTCCAGTGGTTACCCATTTACACCAATACCTGATAGTTAACATCTCTACTAGCTATATCAGTAGCTCTCAACCTTTCCAGATAACTGTTCCCCTTACTGGTGTCTAATTTGTTATACCTCACTTAAACTACTTGCTTCCAGAATCACAAAAATACATGCTATTACTGAAAAATTGCTTATTGTCTCATTTTTACCATATAATGGCAAAAAAAAACCAATATAAATGTTATAATTAAATTTCAATATATCTTGCATGGTGCAGTAGAAATAAGTTAGTTTATGAAAGTTGAGTTTGTACTGACTTCTCTAGTTGTTTTTTATGTATCCTCTTGTGTAACTAGGCAAATAGCTAGCTAAGTTGATGTATTCTTTCGAAGAGCTGTACATGCCCCCATGGGTAGACTTAGCCCTATTTGAGAACCACTGAGCTAGTTTCAAGTAGGGATGTTAGATACTGATTAATAATTGCGGTTACATTATTATTCAATAGTTCCCTGCTCCTGGCCCCACTCCTGGGGAGCCCTCTGTGACCCCACGCTGCTGTCTCTGAATTAGAGGCGTCGGGGGGACTTGATTCATGCAGGGAGCTGGTGGCTCCCCATGCATCTTGGTCCCTGCCTGCTGCCCCGCACTGCTGCCACTGCTGCTCGAGTTCCCCATAGACAGAGGCTGCTTCCTTCCACATTCGCCCCCGCTCTGCTGCCTCGGATAGGAGGCAGTGGGGGAGGAGGAGAGAGAGGGTTGGTAGGCTTGAAAGCCAGTTTGTTGAGTGTACTGGCTCCCGCTTGCCTGGCAGCAGTGCGGGAGTGGGGGGACAGGTGGCTCCATGGGATCCCGTACTCACAGGGAGCTGGCTTAAAAGCTGTCTACCCATGGGCACTACTCCTGCCTCCCCACTCTCTTTGCTCCCTTTGGAATGGAGGCAGCAAAGGGGGGGAGTGCATGTAGTTGATAAGCTTAGGCTTAATGGTTAACCTTATCAGTTAATTGTGTAGTCAGCTAGAAATTGACATCCCTAGTTTAAAGCTAGTAGAGGTATGGGTATGTGAACTGCAAATCATACCTATCACTGCAGTGTAGACATACTCTTAGACATGAATTGCTAATGAATGTCTCAGTTTGGCCAAATCTGCATCCAAACAAAGTGAGGTGCAATGTTGAGGCCAGTAGCAGTGTAATAAAATATATTTATTGTATCTTTTTTCAAGTGAGGTAGAAGGAGAATACCATTTGTGTTAATCACCAGACTGAATATATATTGCCCAACAAAGGACTTGAATACATTGCAGTAAAAATAACATTCTTCTGGATAAAAATAAAGATGTTTGCTTTGCTTTACAGATTCCATGTAAAAACTGGATGGCAGCTCATTCTGTTGTAGAGAAGATAACAATGAAAACAAGTTTATTTTGTGGCAGTAGCTTGAGTTATATATTTAAAATCCTAAAATTGAAACGTGCGTGAAGCCAAAATGCCCATATACACAGTTCCTAGTAGAAACAACACCAATGTGCTTGGTGTTTCTCCTTTCCCAAAAAATCCTCAACCAAATACCTTTGCTAAAAGCATCAGTTTTGGACAGCAGCTTAAATCACTGATACCAGAAAATAAAAAAGATAGTTCACTGTCTGTGTCTCTGTCTAAAACCAGTGAAATAAATAGGACCTATGTGATATCTGCCTGTAAAAATGTGGGTGATACGTCAGCTGTGTTTAAACCTGAAAGTAGGTTAACACTCCAGAGAAGAATTGGAGCAAGCAAAAAATCCACTTCTACTGATAAACAGTTGGAAGAAAACACAACACAGGATGTTGAAAATACCCAAGTAGATGGAAGACTTACCTTGCAGAGACGTAAGAGGATTGGATCAACAGAGAAACATAAAACAAGTAAGAACAGTGACCCTGAGACAGAAAAAAGTGATTCTTTTGCACGGCCAAACAACAAAAGTATGTTCCCACCAGGCATTAGTAGTAATAACACCCATTATGTTAAATCTTGTACTCACTTAGCTGATGGTCAGACAAATGGAAAGAGCTGCTCTGATCTGAAAAATAAAGATTCCCTTGCTAATCTTAATGCTTCAAGTGGAAATGGGTATAGTAAATGTTTGAAATATAGGGAAACTATTGCTGATGCCCAAATTCAAAATGACGTTCCTGGATCAGCACATGTAATAGCAACAAAACTTGTTAACAGGACCCCAGGGGTGAAGCTGGAAGAAAAAGATAATTTTAATGAACTATCTGGAAAGGAAAGGATACAAAATTCAGTTGCTAAATATGGCAGTTTGGAAACACAAAGAATATCCAGGAAAGGTAGTACAGTAGGAGGAGTGAAGGCTACACCACTTCTGGATACCAAAAGTTCAGCTACAACTACTCTTCAGAACAGGAAACCTTGTTTTCAAGTTATACAGAAAAGAACCCCAAATACATCAAACTCTTTATCCATTAGTAGAAGTACCAGGGCAGAAGAAAGTCAAATATTTATGCGACCTGCCACACTCAATGTAGAAACTACAGCTCAGAACACTTGCTCAGAGCAAAATCCTATTACAGCAGAAAACAGTAAAGTGACTGTGGCTGTGCGAATAAGACCCTTCAGTGACAGGTTTGTAATCAACTGTTTTCAGAGATTGCTTTGGACAATTTTATACAATTTATACGGTAAATATTCAATAGAATTGTTCTAATGGTATAAGTAATATAGTTTTTAATTTATTAGTAATGTTTAATTGTTGGTATTTACTGTATCATTTCAGTAGTCTAGGCAGACAGAATGCATGGTTCAAAAAGATATAGAAAGTATTTTATTTGACAGTATTAAAAATCTTCAGCTTGACTTTAATGTCTGCCTTTAATTTCATCATAGGTCTGTTTTACACACTAAACTGAATTAAATTAGTGGTATCATAAACCTAAACATTTTTATATATATCAGGTAGGCAGCATGCTCTTTCTCTTAACATATAATGTATGTTGAAAGGTCTGAAAGGTGTTAAGAGAAAAAGCTTTAACAAGCACATGGATGTGGTTCAGGCTAGAGGCTTGGAAACCACTGGTAGAAAATGTTACAGGTCACTGCTCCATGTAAAAGTCTTATTTTTTTTCTGCAAAATAAAGCAGTTTTTATTAGATGATGATCTACAGAAAATAACTGATTACAAAATACAATTGACGTGACCATCCTAATGTACTTTGTTTCTAATGCTATATTTATCTGTAAGGTTTGTTTTTGTATCTTATTCAGAGAGAGAAAAGAAAAAACTTTCCAGGTGGTGTCCGTGAGTGGTCCAGAGACAGTAGTACAACATCCAGAAACAAAACAAGTGTACCACTTCATTTATGACTTTTCGTTCTGGTCTTTTGACAATTGTCATCCTAACTTTGCAAGTCAGGAGATGATATATAAAGCACTGGCAGTACCACTCCTAGAAAGAGCCTTTGAGGGCTACAACACCTGTCTTTTTGCTTATGGACAGACTGGTTCTGGAAAATCATATACGTAAGTTTCTTTGCAAATGGCATGATTTGGAAACATTTTTGTTGGAGATGAATATATGTCACCTGGACTTGCTAAAAAAGGCCTAGTTTAAATTGATTTGTAAATTACTGAGTTCTTAATTTCTATTAAAAGTGTTATATTTAAAACAGATGTTCAAAAGCTTAAGATAATCAGAGTTGGACAATTACTATTAACATAATACATTATTATGCTAATATATCAAGGGCAATATTACTTCCATTGTTTGAGCAAGCAATTAAAGTCTAAGGCATTGGTTTCAGTTGAAGCAGAATTAATATAGTATGGCCAGACAATATTGAGAGAACCATAATGAAAAAATCAGTAAAAAATGTATGTCTCCTAAGAATCGTGTTGTAGATGTGATAATGAAATATGTATCATTGTGTCTAAAGGATACTGATAGCACTTGGCAGGCAGATTTATCAAATCCACAGAAGCTTTTGGAGAGAACTGCTTCCAATCTGAAAACTTTATTAGCTTTATAAAGTAGTAAAGTAATGTGGGATTTTCAAGCACGTTATCATTGGCTTAACTTGGTTCAGTGAAGTTAGTAGGAACGTTTTGGTTAAGCTAAGCACTTCTGAAAATCTGACACTTGTTTATTGTAGTTTGTCATTTTTTGGTGAAACTGATGTCACGGAGAGCGTGGTGCTTACTAAAGAAGCCCTTCAAAAGGAAATAGTTATGGCTGTTGTTGCTCTGGTAGGAAAGGAAGGAATGATTTAAGGTTTTCCTGGTCTTTTTAAAACACTAACAAACAACTCCCCCTCCCAATATTTAAAGAAAGTCAATGGGAATTTTATGAAAGACATTTTTATCTTGAAATCTAGTCATTTTAAAAAATATATATACTGTATCTCCCACTGAGTTTTTTCCTAGCCTATTGTTGTGGGTTTTACAGTCAAATATTAGGCTGTCTTCACTAGAAATGCTGCAGCTATGCTACTAGTTCTTTAGTGTAGACCCTTGCTACAGCAACAGGAGGGTTCGCTGTTACTGTAGTTCTTTGACCTCAGAGATGGTAGCTGGAGCAACAGAAAAGTTCTTCTGTTGATCTAGCATTGTCTACAGTGTGAGTTTGGTCAGCTTAATTTTTGGTGTAGGCTTTCCTTAATCCATGTTTACGCTACGAGACAAGGTTGAATCTAGAAAAGTTGATTTCTGGTCACCCACTTTTGCGAAGTTCAAGGTCCACATCCCTGCTGTGCACAGGAGTTCAACGTAGTTCAAACTAGCACATCCCCATTAGGGAGATTGCTGTTGACTTTCAGCACAAAGTACTGTAGGTAGCTATCCCACAGTGCCTGCACTGATTTGCATTCTGGTTTATGCTCCCTGTGTACACTTGGACAAAACTGTAGCGGGTGGAGATCAAAGGGAAACAGCCATTTCACACCCTTTTCAGTCCTGGTTACCTGCACACATGCCATACCAGCACGAACATGGCCCTCTTGTGGGTCCTGTTTTGCGTCAAATCATTGTGATGTTGGTGTCTCTCTTGATGCACCTAATGGTACAGTATTTCAAGAGCCTAAGCATGTCACTTCACCAGGAAGAGGACAAGGAGGAAGCGCTTCCATGTTGAGGTGCTATGGGCATACTGTACAGGCAAACCCGTGTGTTGAGCTAATTGGAAACGCAGTCAGCAATCAATCCTCTGGAAACAGTGGAATGTTGAGTCTGGTGTTGTTAGACAAGCAAAGACTGATGGGACTGCAGATTGTTGTAGGAATGGGATGATCAGCAGTGGCTGCAAAACTTGTGAATGCACGTGACCCCTTTCATGGAATTTTGCAAATCCCTTTCCCCTGCCCTAAAGTGCAGGGACACCTGAATGAGGCACGCTGTGACAGTGGAGAAGTGCATGGCAATTGCCCAGTGGAAGCCTGCAATGCCAGACAGTTACTGGTTGGTTGGAAATCAGTGCGGAGTGGGGAAATCTACAGTGGGGGCTGTTGTTGTACAAGTAGCAAAGGCAATCAATACCAGTCTGATACAGAGGATAGTGACTGGGAAACGTGGATGGCTTTGCCACGATGGACTTCCCTAATTGCAGTGAGGCGATAGATGGAATGCAAATCCCCATCTTGGGCCCCAGCCATCTTGCCAAGGAGTACATAAACCACAAGAGGTACTTCTTGATGGCGCTGCAGGGGCTGGGGATCACAGAATCAGTGGGACATCGATGTGGGATGGTTAGGAAAGGTGCATAACTGTGTGTATCTTTAGGAACTCCTGCCTCTTCAGAAAGATGCACGCTGGAACTTTTTCCCCCAGACCAGAAATCAGAATTAGGAGGGTGGAAATGCCAAAAGTGCTCCTTGTTGACCCAACCTATCCCTTGTTCATGAAGCTGAAGGTAGACAACCTGGACTGCAGTAAGGAGCAGTTAACTACAGGTTGAGCAAGTGCAGAATGGTGGTTGAATGTGCTTTTGGTCATTTAAAGGAAAGGTTTAGGAGTCCCCTGACTAGGATAGAACTCAGTGACTGCAACATTCCCTTTGTAGTGGCAGCCTGTTGTGTACTCCATAATCTTTGAGAGAGCAAGGGGGAAAGTTATCTGGCAGGATCGAGGGCTGAGACAGAGCATGCATCCAGACACCAACCTAGGCAGACACCAGGATGATGAGGAGAAGACAGCACAGGGCAGTGTGAATCAGAGAGGCTTTGAAAGAAAGTTTTTGTGAATGACCAGTTTTGAGACTGATGCATGTTGCTCTCAACAGGGTGCCCCCACATTCATTGTCTGTAATCCCCCACCCCACCTCTGCAATACAAGCAGTTAAGATACTGTTGTTTCATGCATTTTTATTTAGGGAAGACAGCAGGGACAGAAAAGAAGTCCATGATGCGACCCAAAAGTGGGGAGAGATCAGAAATGTGAGGATGACAGCCTTTTGCCTCCCCAGGCCCTAGAGGTTGAGTGTGAGGCTGCTCTTGAGTTCTTCCCTCCTCCCTCTGTGTCCTCGAGCCCCTGGGGGAGGAGGATATGGAACTCGGGAAGGAGGGAAAGTTGTTTTGCATGGGGTGGAGGTACGGTTGGGGTTCCACTCCACACTCCATCACAGTCTTCAGGGATGAAAAGAGATTGTCCTGATGCTTCGCTTGCAGGTCCCTGCATGCTTTCCGGCTGCTCTGCTACTCTCTCCTGCTACTCTGTCCCCATCTTCTCCAGGAATGTATTCCTCTACTCCATTTACTCCTTGAACATATTTTCTCTTGCCTGTTTTTGTCTGTGAAATGGTGCAAGGCAGACAACTGCTGGAGTGGGCGAGTACAGAGCAAGCTGCCTGCTGTTCCTGCTGTAACAAAAAGTTAAAAGGGCACACATTGCAGGAGATATATTGTGTTAAATCTATCCCTAATCCAGTGTTTCCCAATTTTATTTGGCCGAGGAACCCTTTTCAGCTTTTCAAGGAACCCCTAGGTTTTTCAAACAAAAATAAAATAAAGGGGGGCTGGGGAGGAGAGAGGGACCCACCAATGCATGAAAATCACATTCCTTCCCCAAGACACCCCCCGCCCCCACTCCTCACC